AAATAGGCGGGCTCCCTATCCTGTACCAAACGTCTGCCTAAGCAGTCACCAAGCCTCACCACAACCACCACTGAAACGTATCGATCGCGACATCCTAGCAAGGGTTTCGGGGATTTCGATTTCCACTACTACACATTGTGCAAGCGTGCAGAAGGTTTACTTTTGCCAGCATCTCGAAACAATTTTGTTCTGATTTTCTCCGGACGCTGCTAAATCCGATGCTGCATTACTGACAGCAAATATCCTGAAGGACGATTTCGAAGAAGATTGTCGCACGGCGGCGGGGCTCGGCGGTCGCCCGCGTTTCTGTATACTCCCCAGGCGATTTGCGTTACACGAGCGTGGTGTGTGTATGTGTGTGGTCCACTAATGGCAGCGCTTCCGGAGTACGATCTTGCCTTCCTGCCGCTACATCGATCTGCGCTACTCGACTAATCGCAAAAGCGAAACAGTGGGGTAAACATTTGAAACGAAGCAGCTTCGTAGGAGGAGCACACTAGAAGGCAATGTAGCTACTTGTGCACTTCCATCTATCGCAAAACAATCTTTCGCTTCCCTGAGGCAGCGCTATGCTAGATGACAACCCGCTGGTATTCTCGAGTTCGCCACTACTCTTGGATGGAGCAAAGCCCTTGCTTTCGCTGCACAATAGCGTTCGAGCGGCAATCTTAGTAATTGCGCGTCATTCAGTGGTTGGTTCGGAGAATCCTTGGACCCGTGGCTGCAAATTTCGAGCAACTCTAGCTTCCAATGCAGTTTCTTCAATTCAAACAATTCTTTTGGACATCGAAATATTTGCTTTCATTTCCATTCAGCTCCTCAACATGGGAAGATAATTATGAGTTATTGTGCCCTAAAAGCATGTTGCAGCAAACTAAAATAAAAACAAGTGTACTCGGCGCAAACGCGGAAATTGTAAGGCTAATGCTCGGAATCAACTTTGTGTTGTCTTTCAATGGTCTCCGGTCCACTGCTTCAAAGCCTGGCTCCACCAAAGCGCATCGTGTTCTATAAGGTTGTGCCGATGTATGCATGTGCATACTAGGATTCGCAGTACGATCGATACGCAGCCCAGTCCACTTAAAAACCTCCGACTAATGCCCTATGCAGCCCGGTCAGACGATATATATAAACAAATAAATAAAATAAGATTCTCTGTAGTTAAAGGTGGAGATCTTTCTTTTGCTACATGAGGTGCAAACTCAAACTTCACCCTTAAAAATGAAACAGTATACAGAAGCTCAAGAGGATCCTTGTCTACCTCAGTGCATCTGAAGACAAAAGAAAGAGATAAACAAGTGATTCAATAGCAGATGCAAGGATAACACGAAGAAAAGGGGCGGAGACGTCCTCAGCGCACTAAGCGAAAAATGAACGCGAAGGCGGGGCCAAAGGAAATTTAACGATGTAAAACATACTAATGAAACCTTACCCAATTTGGGAAGTATAATATGACACGGAGATGGAGTGGATTAGATTTCAAGAACCAATAGAAATTACGTTTTTCTTCAAAAGTCCCTTGATTTACCATTTACTTTCGAGCTTATGTCTAGAAGGAGATCTTTATCAAACACATCATTTGCGTTTCATACGCACCCAGATCGTAGGAGGAAAATACGAAAGATCAAACACCGATGGTGTTTATAGATAAAAACATTGCTACTCCTATTTGTTCATCCTATCCCGCATAAGCCGAGGTGTATGAAGTTATCAAAATCAAACCGTTATCGCTTTTTTGCTTTAGAACGCTTTCTCAATTCATGGTCTAAAACTGCTGGTATGACCACCTTGCGAGCCCGAGGGAGATGTAGGCGAAGAGAAACGAGAGAGTTTCAAATAAATAGTTTAGAGGTAATTCAAACTAAACATGTTATACAATTTAGATTACCACTATTGCCGCATAAGTCGTTACCATCAGATAATGCAGAAACCTTTTGACACTAGTTGCTTTGCAACAACCTCTATGGCGAATATAGCTGTCAGATTTTGATCGTACAATCAAAAAGCAACCTTCAGGATATGCAGACAAGTTCCGCTCCCCCTAATTCCAGAACATGGACAAACTCACTTTTACGAAAGTGTTTGCCACACTCAGAACACTGTGTTTTGCTATTAGAGAGATGAGGTGGCGTACCGACCGAAGCAATCAGAGCAGCTAGTGATGTTTCGCCTCCAACCTAAACCAGCAGGCTCAGAATGCGAAGGGGACTTTTGCTGCTGCGAACGAGCACAACGATTGTTGCTTACGGTATTGTTGGGCAGCGGACTTCCGTATGACTGATCCTCATTATATTCCGGCTTTGTTGAGCAGTATGTGCCTAAAATGACAGTCCATAAATACAGTTCTCTATCCTTTCTAAGCCTCAAAGCAGATACAAAGTCGTGCAAAGATTGAATTATCAATGAGTTTGATTAGAATAAAGATGAGCGAAAATTCAGTAGTTGTTTAGCCAATTTATAATTTGATAAGTAGCTGATGACAGATGTATCCGGTGAAAAAAGATTCATTACCGTTTTCAGGGCTAGCGCTCGCTTCCGGGCTGTCCCGCAAGTCCAACGAGTGACTGTAGTCGAGCCCGAGCGAAATCAAGATTGACCTTAAACTTATTGTTGAAATTAGAGCATGAAATGAAGGAAATAAAAACGCTGAAATTTCGTGAAAATAAATAGGAAGACTGCGAAAACAGTCTCATTGTATAGAAGAACTCCTATATCAGTGTCAATGTGATCGATGATGCTTTAGTGTACTGACCAAAGAGCACTCCAAAGGGAAAAATCCCAAATTCTATTAAGTGAAGAAAATCTTCAAAAGAAAATAACGATTTAAAACAAATACGACTATACTTCAAAGCGGGCTCCAAATGTGGAAGCCGACTGCACCAGATAAAGTAAAAAAGACAAGGCACCTTTCTTGATCATTAGTCTCTTCCTTTGGTATAAGATTTGGCGACGTTGACTCGTTATTCGTATTTTGAGCCATAACAATCATTGATTTCTCCAGAAAGTCCACTGCTGCAGGGTCCTTAACCGATTTTTTACCCTAAAGGAGTCCCGTCGCACAATGCACAGAACTCGTAACTTGCGAGGCGAAAGTTCCGCTAGTAGAAACAGGCATACCTTTTTGATTATTATATCGTCCTTCCCGATCTGTTCATTCTGTTCTTTCTTATGGTGCTTTAATATGTGCTTGGTGAGGTTTCCTAAAAATTATCATTGGATAGTAGCCAAGTTCATGATCTCGATTCAATGGTTTGACTAGAAAAGGACAGTGCGCGAACGAAAGCTCACCTTTCAGTCGGCTGCTCTTGCCACAGTACTTGCAAACGTACGGCTTCAAAGCTGTATGCACGGACCGGTGCTCTGCGAGATTCGATCGAAAACGAAACGCTTTCCCACATATCTCGCAGATAAACGACTGAAAGAAAACCGAATTTACGTTGCGATAACCATGCGAAGAATTTTCAGGGTGTTGACATCACATCGTACTTCGGTGCGGTTCTCTCTGCCCCGAGGGGAGACTACGATTCTGTTTTGCAATACAATGTCTCCCAGCATTTGCCCTCTCGACGCGCGTCAGGATCAATTTTACATGCGTGGCGACGCGAATTGACAGATGGCCGGTTCGTTTGCAATTATTGGAGATACGGTGGTGGTGCTGTGGCTAACTAACTAACATGAAACACCTGGTTTTTGAACAGGCAGCTTCGAGTGTTTAGTGCTCTGAAATTGGAGAGTTTTGGAATGAGAGAATGATAAAAGCTCAGGAGCACCTGCTACATAAGTACAGAAGCCACTAAAGCGCTACAACACATGTTGCACCAATATTAAGCAGGATTCTTCATCTCTTTACTCTTCCCCTTAACTTCTATGGTAAGCAGAGGTCATATCAGATCATAATGTTTGAGTCAGACTACAACCTTGAAGACTCTTTGATTTGTGCGAATAAGAAATGAGCACTCTGAACTGACAGACGCTAATTGCACTTCCCAAGCTCAAAAGTCAAATGGTCGTAGTTGAGGCTGCATATGGCAACACATTCAGAACAACAAGACAGTAATTAGCCTTTGATTACAAGCGAGTTGCCCCTTTACCGACTGGCGAGATTACGCAGCAACAGTATTGCATCTGTTCAAACACGTAAGTTGTGAACAATTCAAAGGCCTTGAACATGGTCTGCCTTTAACTTGAACTTTTTCGTGATACTACAGCGCGAAATGCCTAGGCTTACGAAATATATAGGAGACATAAACGAGATAAGCCGATGCAGCGATTGCTTGCCGCGAAGACTGACGCAAAGTTTAGGCTGTCCATAAAGGTTTAGATCTCAAGCAGATACGAGACCTGCAAGCAAGGAGACTGGTGAGAAAACAAAAAGTAGATTTCACACAAATAAGCATCAAGATATCAATAGTGAGAATTAGGAGCTCGAGAATAAAGTATTTCACAAAAGTGAAAAAAAAGAATGACTAGGTATTCTAATTGCATATTTACATGTTCATTACTGGTTGTGCTAGCCATGCTTCAAACCGTTCATCCGATAAAATTGTGCAGGTCCTATGAATACGATGACATCTGTTCCGTGACAGCTGGCTTGCCACAGGCTGTACTGTCGGCTAAAGGTCGGGACGCATTGTAAACAATAACAGCGGTCCAGAGCCCAGTAGCAATCAGGGAAGACGCAAATGCGCAATGCACTGCTCAGTACCTTTGACTATATTGCCGGATGCGAGTGTAAGACTAAATTGGCTGTTTTGGATTATGTTTTGGAATAAACGAGAGCACTGAGGAAGACACATTGTAGCGCCATTAACGATGTACGGGACTTGGCCGGTCCGCACACTTTGTATCTACAGCAGCTGTATCAGTAGGCATAGATTTGAGGGTGATGTGAAAAGTACTCGAATGGGAAAATGCAGGCAATCAACTCACCTTGTCCGAATGGAACATTTGCTGATGCTGCTGTAAAAGTCGTACATTTGCGAATGTTTTCGGGCACTGCGGACAGGGAGACGGCTCGTCAACAGCCATAGATGGCATTTCGGCGATCTCCACCATTTTGAGCGATTAGAAAACGAATTCTCGGACTAGCAAGTAACGCAGTGGTCGGATCTGTGTAGGGTCAGGAGGGTGCTTCTGTCCTCAGGGTAGGATCGATACAGACTGGCGCGCGCTTGCTCGGAAGCCCGCGGCTTTACAGTGAGGGTTGCTCTAGGCACCGCCCATCATCTCCGACAACCTCACCACGATCTCTTCGGAGCGGAAGCTTGTTCGATTCCGAACCTCAACTCGGTCCTTTCCAGTCAGATGCCAGTCTGGACGCCGCGCGCCGCGTCTACAGGTCGTCACACCGCAAAAACAGCTTTTCTCGCATGGAGAGCGCATTTCGCCGCTTTCAGGTGACGAGCTGCTTTTCCTCCAGGACTACACGCCCAACAACTTCCATCGGGCTGCCACTGGCAGCTTCCACTGTCTGACTCACAGTGGCCTAGAATGTGTGGATGATTACTGTAGCGTACGGCGGTTTCTCTCGCACTCTGCCTGTAGGATTGCTGCCAATATGTGTAAAGAGTATGAAAAAGCGCATTATGCGCGAAAAGTCAGTGTTTTCTACTTGTTCTCTTCTGCCTTAGCCTATTGCCTCAAAGTAGTATAATATTCACGTTCTTCTTGTGTTAATGGGAAAGAGCACCGATGGTTGCGCAATTCTCCTTCCACTATCCATTGGGACGGATTTTTTTAAAGGCAAATAATTTCAATCACATGTGCCAGAGAAGTCCTGTATTGTGAAGTGATTCAGCCCAACAGCTTAGAGATTTTCTATACAGACTGCCTGAATATCAGTCACATTTGCGGTATGGATTCTAGTGAGTCAAGGCTGATTCTCAAATGAGAGTATGAAATTAATAGACTCGAATTTTAGCGCATGCTTTCTTGAAAACGCTATCAATCAAAAAAAGGGAAGTGGGAGCCATACATACCAGTAGTATGGGTTTTTTCTTATTTTTTTGCACTCCTTTACTGACAGAGCAGTCTGCTTTCATCGTTTTGCTTTTGATTTGGTAGTACTCTCTTTTGAGGGGTTGGCTACTCCAAGAATGGGTAACTAAGCTTTCACAGTCGTTTCAAATTTCCCTTATTAAAAAATAGTGGAAGACATCAGAGATGACTTTATGATTTTACAAACTGATTCTGTTTGTGTTTTTACCGTGAAAAAATAGTGTAATCCAAAATAAGATGACTGCTGCGGGCCATCATACGAAAATTTCAGCTTGACATACTGGGTGGGTTAAAACACTTGTAGTACTGAAGGAATAAGGTATTTTTGGCTTACAATATGATTATAGTTTAACGAAGATATAGAAATGCCCGCTCGAGAACGAAGCGACAAGTGGAACATAAGGCTGTAGCCTGCGAAGCCTATGACGATGATTACACATCGACTGTGCTATTCACTACACAAATGTGAACCGTGTTGAGATTCTCATAACAAAAGTACGCAAATTGAACAGCTTTTCAAAAGAACAAGAAATATTCCAGGTGTTTGACTTCTATTGATTACGCCTCACAGAAAAATACAAGATACTAACAATTGTTTTTTGAACTCCGAAAAAATGCAACAGTTTTGATCGATATGCGCTTTTCAAACCCATTTAACTTGACATGACTAGTATTTCCACGGCCAAAAAACACTTTCCACACTGAAACAAATACATAGGATCCTCACGTTGGGAGAGGAGGGAGGGG